CTGCCTCCCTTAGAGTCGGGTGAGAGCATCGACAAGGCCCTCCTTCCCACATTAGCTGGCGGTCAGTGGGAGAGAGGGACGCTCATAGTTACTCTACACTTCTAGAGGTGTTTAGGTAGGAGAGCGAGGCAGGGTGGGGACAAGGGGTCAGGCAGTGGTATAGATGACAATAACAATAGTGAAAAAGGACAGGAACGCATTAAAGCCGATTCTATGTATACTACAGTCTATGAAAAACATTGCTGAACATACAGCGTCTACACAAGCAGGGGATTATCAGGTCTGCTCCTAAAGGAATCTGGAATGATTTTAAGAAAGACCCCATGCATTTGTTATGATGAGAATTCCTAGAAGACAAAATGAAAAGAAGCATCCATACGAAAGGGCTCAGACGCCACATTAGCAATGTTGATGAAATCATGCCAAGTACTACAGTACAAATTCTTTATTAAATCCACCCACAGAATAGGCCTTCACTGAAAAGCCATCCTGTCCCAGGTCCGACAGTCTAGGAGGGAAAGCTTCCATCTAAATGAGCCTCATTAAAAAGCACCAGCATGATCAAGGTTGTTTAAGTTAGAGGGAGAGTTACACACGGGGGGCCTAAGCAAGGAAAATGCCAGTGAAATCTGTCTTTCTGGTCAGCCTTGTAGCTCAGAACATAGCCTTTCTCCTTTGGTAGCAGTGCAGGGCATATGGCTGATCCGAAGAATCCCCATACAGCCATTTCCACACCCAACAATTCTGCCCTCCCCAAGATCACTGGGTAGCTGAGCCTTGTTAGAAACGGTTGTCCTCCAGGGCAGGGTGGCCCAGAACAAAGGCCAGCTCAGATGCCATCTGTCCCAGTCACAGATGCCTTGAAAGGCCCAGAGCACAGCATCTGGGCAGAGCTTGCTGCACAAGGTCCCCGAGGCTGGCTTTGGTTTTCTTCTTTCATTCCATACAAGAGAAGTGCCATTGTCCCTCTGACAGGTGTGACGCCACCAACACCCTTCTCTAAGCTACGGCACCAGGCAGAACAGCTTTCCAGGAATCTCCTGGAATCAGGCACGGAAATCACCCTTCGCCCTGACACTATCCACTCGATAAACAAATGTACCATGGGTAGAGGTTGACACTTGACCCCCTTGTTCAGTCAAAGCCTTTATTTTACTTTATTCTATTCCCCCCCCCCCCTTTAAAGTCAGCATCTCATGAATTCCAGGCTTGCCTTGAAGGATCTCGTACTCTGAATTCTCTTCTGCCACCTCTCGAGTACCAAGATTATGGGCATGGGTAAGCATATCTGTTTTTTATGCAGTGATGTAGCCTGAAACCAGGACTTCATATAGCCTGTGCATACACTCTCCCCACAGCTGCCGAGCAAGGCTGAGGGTCCCCAATGAAAACGGTCTTAAGCTTTGACTGGTGAGAGATAACTGTGTCAATCATGCCTACTGGGGCATTATTCACAGTGGCTGAGATTTGAAACCAGTCCATAGTCCCATCTACAGATGAAAGGATAAAGGAAATACATCATCTACACCCGAGCAGAATAAAATGATGTCACCTGCAGAAAAATGGATTGAATCGTAAGTCATCATGCTAAGTGAAATATCCAGGTCGAGAAAGATAAAAATTACATTTTGATATGCAGAATTAACCTCTCTCTTTCCTCCCCCCTCTCCCTTTCGTGTCCTCACACACAGGCATTCACACATGTGAAGCTAGAAGAGGGACTATTTGTGGGAGAGATGGGTACAAGGGAGGGAAATGGGGAGCAAATATGAACAAAGCTGATTATAAAAGTATGAAAATACCATGATGAAACCCATTAGTTTAAACGCTAAATAACATATTTTGCACACAGACTCACTATATGTAGATCACTATGCAGGCCCTGGGAATTGAACTCAGGTTGTTGGACCCCTCTCACTGATCCTTACAAACAATATTTCAAGACTTGACTGTTAAACTTTTGGACATTAAGGCTGTAATACTCACTTCTTATTTTTTTTAAACATAGATAAAGGTACTTGAAAAGCATTATGAGTCTCTGGGGTATGACAGGAGGAAAAGGTTCATGTTTATGCTTATTTTATCCACCCCCCACTAAATATGTCTTTTTAGATCCTTAGAGATGACCTAATTTGGTACCTCAGAGTTCAAAGATGCCATTTGCAGTGCGGATGCAACTTCCAATTACACAGCATTATATAACATTCTGAACTATTTTAAAATTCACTAAAAGGGTAAAAGAGGCTGTGAGCTCTGTCTGAGGTCCAATCTCATGGGGCTCGCAAAGGCTTTTTTTTATAGATCATTTAGAAAGATTAAAAGAATCCTACCTTGCCCAGTCAGTCAAAGACCCATTAAACATGAAAGAGACCCTCTGGCTATGGATTCCCATCTCACCACAAAGTGTATGCTGGCTATTTTACTTTCAACTTGTTTTCATGTTTATTACCCCATTTCATCGGTGACCGATGAAATATAGGAACCATATATTTGGCTATGGCGACAGCCAAACTCATATCTGCCCTTTTCAAATGTTAAAGATTAAAAACGACAAAGGCGCTGAAGGGAAAGGAGCAGGGAATGAGACAGAGTCACTGCGGTAGAAGGGACAGGGGTCCAGAGATTGAGGGAGTGGGTGAACATGCAAGGCATACATAGCAACGGGGCCGAGAAAACCAGCACACACAGTCCAATGTTCCAAAAGCTTTAGGACTCAGTAAGGAGATGGAGATGTCACCACTGCTGATAAGAGAAAGAAAAACATGGCCTGTGCATTTTGGATAGGTTTAATACAGTATCTCTGCACATAGGAAAGAAGGTCTTTTCTCTGTCTGTATAACCGGCATGTGGAACCCAACCACTCAGGTTTCAAGGTTCTCTCCTTGGAAAGCAGCTAGCTGGGACAAGGCAAACTGCATTCTGTCTCTTAAGTGTCTGTATCTGAAGATACAGTGTCTGTATCAATGGCGTTCACAAAACCTCACTGTTCATAAACCCTAGTGACAAAAACTCAGCTTGAGCCGGGGAGATTCTGTTCATAATGTATATAGTTAAAACGTACCCCTGACAGAAAATTTCATCCGATTGGGAATGCTACTGCTTGATAGGAAAGCAGAGTAAAACAAAAGCATACGTTGGACTCAGAACGCTGAGGCTCTTTCCCATCTCGTCCTGTCTCTGTGGAGTGGGTTAACATGTCAGCATGGAGGCAAGCTCGCCAGCCTCTGTGGAGAGAGAGTTAATGCATTTGCACGGGGAAGGTAGGAACAACTTGGATGGCTTCAACCAGTACCGATGGGGTGAAACTTGGGTAGGAAAATCCACCTCTCCCTATCTGGTTTCTTTCATTTGTATCTTATTTCTTCTCACCCAAATTTTATCAAGTAGCCTTCACAAAACAAAACCGAGAGAGAGTCTTCACGGAATAACAGTTGAGTAACTCAAGGTTTCTTCCTTAGTAGATGAATTTTGATGAGGTTTGATTTGAAAAGTTACTAAGAAAACGATAAGAAAAAAACAAACCAAGCACCAACCAATAACAACTTTACTAAGGTTAAGTTTCTGAGAGGTTGTAAAATTGTTGGCCGTTTCACAGGTATTTCTTCTGAAGCACAAATGACATCATGGTGGAAAGTTAGAAACTGAGCCACTTTGGTCTGTTTGGTGCCACATATTGTTTTGGTTGAACATCATCTAGCTTTCTGTTTTTACTGGGAGTGATGTCATAACTGCTTTTAGGATACAGTGTCTGGCTCTGTCATCCGTGGAACTCACCACACAATCATGCTTTTAAATTTCCTTTTCTAAAGTTGTAAGCGTGTGTGCACTAGGTGGAGAATGTGCTCATCAGCAAGCATCCCACAATACTTAGATAGAAAGTCAAACAGTAGCTAGTGTGGTGCACACCTGTGAATCCTAGACCTTGGGGAGTGCGGGAAGGGGGTCTAGGAGTTCAAGGGCAGGAAAAAAAATATCTAAAACAGACTTTAGTTAGACACACACACACACACACACACACACACACAGAGAGAGAGAGAGAGAGAGAGAGAGAGAGAGAGAGAGAGAGAGAGAGAGACAGAAAGGGTATTTGGTGCACCACTAGGCAGCAACACGAGTAGCTTTGCAATGCACAGATTTACCCTAGAAGTACTAATATTTTTAAGAATGAGCTAATATCTGAGCTCTACTTAATCTTTACCCCTGGGAACTGATCTATAATTCATAGTCAAATAATAACTGAATTTTCAGGGGATCTGATCTGGCACATAAGGTGAGCTAAGCTCCCATTGAATAATTTGTATAAAGAATTAATATGGTAATCACTTATGCAAATTACGCAAAATGTTCATTATAAATGTGAACAGGAAAGCAAAACAAGACAAGATCCAGGACTTTTCTCTCCTCCATTTACTCCCTCCCCAAACACCAAGCAACAGAGAGAGAGCCCAGCTCTCTGTTAGGGCGATATATATATATATTGTCAGCTAAGGGTCAGTTCCACCCTGCAGGCCCCACACTCCAGGACACAGAAGTCACAGCCTCTCAGGGAGGGACAAGGATCCAGGTAGCAATAGTTTCAGAAACTTTTAGACATACATGGAGAACTGCGATTCAGGTAAGAACAGTTGTGTTCAGAGACATCTAGCATCTACTCACGAAGAAGCTTGGGGCACCCTCTGTCCCCATTATTACCTGCTCCACTAGCGGAGAGGGGCCCTGAGGTCCCAGGTGTGGAACTTAGCAGACAGTATGCTGGTTGAATATATGCAGTGTCATCACCATTGCCCTCGACACACAGTTGATTTGCTATGCAACTGTTAACTACTCCATTGACCAGGTGACAGCACTAGGTTTCTCTTAAGAATTTGCTTTACTATTCTCCTCTGGCATCATAGAAGACATATCCCCCACCCCAAACAAGGCCCTTTGCTTCCCTCTATTATTTTGCAAGCCTGTTTCTCCTGCTTGACAACCTTAAAAGCCTTCAGAGTCTGCCTTACCTCCACGATGCTCTTTAGGTCTTGCACGTAGGTCCTCTCAGTTTCCAGGATTTCCTGTACCACTCTATCCACATAGAGGAGCTTGGGGCTGGTGTCCGAGTCTGCAGTGGTTTGGGGTGCCCCATTCGTGTCCACTCTCCACTGGATCCTGGGCTGCCTCTCGCTGACCCCATCCATGTTCGGTGGCCCGGAAGGGGTGTCCCTCTGCAGCTCGCTGCTGGAGAATGGCCGTGCTGGAATCAGCTCCAGCTTTATGGCCCCAGCTTCCTTATCCTGGCGAAATAAGCCCAAGTGGCTATTTGAAACCAAAGTCATTCTGCTGCCAATGGAGCCATGGCTGTCCCTGGAGGAGGCCGAAGATGAGGTGGAGCTGAAGCTGATGGGTCGGTCACTGTCAGAAAACTCCATGGCCTTTGGTTCTGGGGACTGGGAAGCTTCAGCTGTGGTCCTTGGATCAGGAACTTGAGTTACAGCTGGCGGCCCTTTCGGTTGCAGCCGGCGATGCCCATCTGCTTCCGTCGCAGAAAGATAGAAAAGAGAGAAGAAAGGTCAGTGAGCACCCTCTGAACAGGAGGAGGAAAGGAGGTCAAACCCCACCCCAGGTGTGAAGCATCATTAACAAGAGGCGGCAAATGAGCTCGGAAAGGCAGGCTGGGAAAAGGAGGATGAGCGGTTCAGAGTATCCTCTGAGCCAGCTGGAAGGGCAGCCGTAGGCTCTGCCCTAGGCCTTCTCTCCTTGATTCGGCAACTTAACAGATCACAGAACGAGCCCGGATACCCTAAACTGTGTGAAGCAGGACACTGGGTGCTGTTTCTAAATGTGAGCACCTGCACTGAATCACATACACAGATGGGTCCAGATTGGCGGGTGGAAAGGCTCAGCGGTCAGGGCACAAAGAACAGGCAACTTTAATCAACACAACAAATGGTTCTAGCGTGCCGAGAAGGGAGATTAATTTTTACAGAATCTTGAGAAACGTTGCTTTAGTCTTCCCTTATAATTCTACCGTTTCTAAGCAAGGGGTCTGGAGCATGGAGACTCAGTTGAAGTGACATGAAGTGACACTGGCTGATGCACAGCTCACTCACACACAGCACTGAACACAGAGCGGTGTGGGGCTCACTCTCTGCCTAATAGGGGGGCGTGAAAACCAGGCTGAAATAAAAAGACCTGCATTCTACCTCAAACTCATCTTTCACCTTAGCCTTTACCTAAAGCCCTTCTTAAAAACTGGCATTGCAGGCCTGCAGGATGGCTCAGCTGGTAAAGACACTTCACACAAAGCTTGACCACCTCACCTTGATCCCCAGGATCACAAGAGGGAGGGCGAGATCTGACTCCTGCCCGCTGTTCCACATCTGAGCTGGCCCAGAAGAGGCCTTCAAAGTGCTTATATAGCATCTCCCTGTGTAGTTCTTTCTATAATGCCCATTTGCTCATTTTCTCTCTTTCTCTCTAATAAATAAATACATAAATTTATGTCACAGGAACCCTACCTGCCTAAGACAAACAGACTAGCACAGCTTTTGTAGTATCGATTAAGTCACAACATCCAGGAGCTATTGGAACAACTCCAGCAGTCCATACGCCAAGTCATAAAACAGCGGTTTTAAATTAGGAACTAAGTGATGAGGAAAATTAAGCCCAGCTGGGTTGTAGGCATTTATGAGAAAGTGCAAGGTGAGACCATCTGCCAAGTGGGGAGGTGACAATAGCTATGGTGGAGGAAGATTATCTTGGGTTCAAAAGGCCATAGCTGAATTTAAACCTTCCAAAATTATTCTTATGAGACATGCAAGATTCCAGTTTTTTTTTTTCAGCTGTCAAGGCAGGATCAGTATCCCCTCGCCCCCATAATATTGAGATTGTACCTTATGATAAGGGATTTGATCAATGATGAAATTGGCTTCATCTTGGTAGGTCACCTTACTACCAAAATTCATCCTTAGAGGTTTTGTTTGAAATGGGAAGATTATGCTGGAAAGATTATAATATGACAGATGTATTAAGAATATTGGTCCATGGTATTTCCCTGAGACAAAGTTTCTCTGTATAGCACTGGCTGTCCTGGAACTCACTCTGTAGACCAGGTTGGCCTGGAACTTAGAGATCCACCTGCCTCTGCCTCCTGAGTGCTGGGATGAAAGGCATGCACCACCACCTATGGTCATTTTAATAGGAATGTAAACTTATTTGGATTTTATACTAAACATCAAACAGCTGGACCCTATTTATGGACTGTAAGTCCTTCAGAACCTCATTTTTTTCCTAGGCTATATGCACAGAAAGTATCAGTGCCAGTCTATGAAACAAACGTTAGAACTGTGAACGCAACACGAAGACCCTCACTCTTGTTGACAACCAGGGAGAGTAAGAAACACATAGGAAACGAAGACACTCAGGCCACCACCACATGGTATGAGTTTGCTACAGAGTTTTAGTGCCTTTGAAATATGCTTTCTGCTTGCTCTGTAACAACTTTATAGCCCATAAAACATGGATTGGTTTGTAGTTAAAATACACTTGACCTAAAAAGCTTGATCCAGTTTGAGTGTGGCGAAGATCCAAGAAGTGGCCATGCATTCAGATCTGCCTGTTGTAGAATGCAGCTGCCAGCACTCAGAACTGCTGGTATGTGCTGGTATGGTAACCTAGAATGTGATAGGCTGGGGAGACGGCTCCGAGTGTGAGGGGCTGAGTTTGAACCACCGCGCCCACACAAAACTTGACACAGTAGCGTGTGTCTGTATCCCTGATGCCCCTCTAGTGAGACAGAAGGTACAGGCAGAAGAATCTCTGCAAGCTGTCAGTGACTTCCATCATAACTGTGACCCTGATTTTTGTCCCACTGTAGGGAATGGCCACTTTCTTGGGAAATAAGCATCCTTTAAGATCCCAAAGGTCCAACATTGATTTAGGATCAATGTAAACTGAATATGCTCACTACCCAAGGCCAGGACACCTGGAAAGGCTTAGATCAAACAATCGACCCCCACAGAGGGAGACAGGCTGGTTTCCAGAGCAAGTCCCTGCTTCCTGACTAGGCAAATGTCAGTCTTCTCTCTGGTCTAGGAAATGGTCTTTAGCATCATTATCGGGCACTTGGTACTCAATCAACGGGATGAGCGACTACAGAGAGACCCATTCCTTCCCCACCACCTCTTTTCTCTGTTTATTTTCACTCTAAGACTGGGAGATGAAGGAAGAAGAATTTGGTTTTAGAGTCTAAGCCATGCTGCTATAGATGGGCACACCTTTGGGGTATCTTCAAAGATGGGCAAGATGGCATATGACAGGCAGGTCCACAGACAACTCCTTCTGGGTCAATCTTAAACAGAAATGTGAGTGGGCCCTGATCTAAGGATCCTCCTATACCTGGCCCCTGAAGCCCCTGAGACCAGCCTATTCGGTATCTGCCAGTTAAATATTGTTTAAAACAGAAACGTGCAGATATTTGGTGTCTGTAGTATTCAGCCAAGCTTACTTGACCAAATACCTTCTGAAACTACCAAAGACAGAAATCAGACATTTCAAATCAGGCCATATAATGGCACGTGAATGATGCGAGGCTATCCTTGTTAATGAGTAACATTTTTTATGTTGACTCATGGCTTAGAAGGTAATTATAGTTTTCTCATATAAAACAACATGCCTCATAAAAACTGTCTAGTCTTGCTCTCACTGCCCTCAAAATAACTGGAGATTTCTACTGTCTGACCTCTTCTTTCTAATGAAAATCTCCAATGATTAACATTTATCGAACTGTGCTTCTCAACATAGTAGTTACTAGCTATGTGGGACCAAGGAGCATTGGAGAAGTTCCAGAACTGAGGTGGGCAGTGTGTGTAGAATAAATGCCATTTTTAAATAACAATATGAGACAAAACTATCCAATACTTCATTAATTTTTTGATTGTTTTTAGAAATAGTATTTTTGAATAGTGAGATAATTTTAATATCACATTAAAATTTTACCGGTTTTGTTTTACCTTTTAAAATGTCGCTACCAGCAAATTTTAAACCCTATGTACAGCTTGGGAGGGTATATTTTTATTAAAGAAAGTTTATATGAGAATCATTTAGACAATTACATTTCAGTCTGTAAATTTAGGACTTAAGAACACGTACTGTTCATGCAGAGGACCCAAGTTTGATTCCCAGCACCCACACTGGCTAGCTCACAACCACTGTAAGTTCAGCTCCAGGAGATCTGATGCCCTCTTTTGGCCACAGAGGGCACCTGCACACACATGCACACATAATGTGAAATGACGATTAAAAGGCTTAAATTTACCTATGTATCCGTGGTTTTTTTAAATAGTAGTGAATGGGATGATGCGTGAGACACGCACGTGACTATTGTCAGGGGAAAGGAGGGGTGAACTCTCGTACAAATGCAGAGGGAAGGTGGAGTGGCTGGTTTTCCACAGCAAACTGAGCCAGAGAGAAAACTCTGCCAGGAACCTTTTCATTCTGCTCTGGGCGAGAGAGTAACATTTGTATGCCGCTCTGCTATCCTTCCTTGAGTGTCATTATCTTCCCAAGCCCCAAGTCGAGGACTAACGTTAGACAGCTTTGGAGAACGCCTCACCAAACATGGGCTCATGGATCCTCACGTGTAGATCTTCTGGCCATTACTACCATGAAACTAGCCAGGTCTGCCCACGTGAGGGTCATAGCCACACTCATCTTTGGGGAGCCTGGAGGTAGCTGGAGTAGAAGGTAGCACTTGCAAGGGTCTTGATGGCTTGCTGAGTCTGACAACTAGAGGTTGTTAGCCATAGTATAGCATCTGTGCGCCATTCTCAATGAAGAGGCAGGACTTCCATTTCACTCCCAATGAGTCTTTGTAGGGGAAGCAACCCCATCCCGTGGCTTCCCTTTATTTGTCCGTCAGACAGCCATTATGCTAACTTCTCTTTTTGGGAACGCCACCATCAGAATCGAGAGCACTACTTGCTGCCTCTAACTTGTCTTGAGCCAACTTTAATATACAGCTTCCCTGATTTCATGTCAACTGGTGTGCACGCACAAGGTGGGGCCTTGAGGGTTTGCCAACCTACAGTTCCCAAGGAGACTGCTATAAGGCAAAGCTGGGACCCTTCCCACTACAGCGGTAGAGGAGGGGCCAGCACACCAGTTTCTGCTCACTGCTGTGCTCAAAACCCATTACTCCACCCAGTTCCATGGAAGAACTACTGCCCAAAGATCTCCATGCCTTCCATATTGTTATATTTTATTAATCACCAAGTTCCCGACACCCCAGCTTCCCCATAATGATGACCTATTGGCATTGTGATCCAAATAACCCCCTTTCCCTTAAAAATAAATCTACCCTCTTGACAAATTTTGAAGCATCCAACAGTATTATTGCCGATAGGCCTGAGATGTTCTTTCCATCTTGCATAACTGAGAAGCTGGATCTGTGAGCCGTACTATATAGCATGTCTTTCTGCTCAGCCCCGTAACCACCCTTTTACTCTTCTCTGCTGTGAGTTTGACTACTTTGGA